CGGGGCTGATGCAAGCGGAGCAAGCCGAGCGCGTCGCAGCAAAAAGTGCACCACGGCAGCGCCCGCCGCACAACACCTACATCGGCAGCCTCTCGCCCCGCCGCGCCCCCCGCGCGCCCGGAGTCCATAAGTCCAGCATTCCGCCCTGCTCCTGCTGCTGCAGCCGTTGCAGCGACGACGACGGCGAGAGAAAAGAACAAACCTCAACCATTGACTTGGGCTCCTGCTGCAAAATAAGGTCCATTAAATTAAATTCCAACGCCACGTAATTCCGGGCAGCAGTTATTGGTCAGTTAATGTGTAACGGTAATTGCGTCAGTAAACGCCGTTGCGCTATGGCCATGGAGCTATGGCAGCGTTGCGAATTTGCTTTAGGGATTGTCCAGAAAGCAAGTTGGATCTCTGGCAAACGGGAGCTCAGCGCCTGCGAGGTTCTGGGTAGGCCACCCCGCAGTGCACGCATGCGCTGCAGGCAAGATGTTGCCTACCCGTCAGGCGCGATGGGAGGTTGCACAGGATGAAACTGCGCTGACAGACATACTTTCTGGATGAACCACCCTCAGGCTGCAGTAGGAAACCCCACAACACTGCCGATTATCGGACTTACTTGACACGTTGATACATTAAATTGTCTAAAATGGTGGTTTAACATGTGATTAGCCCTGGCCACTTTTTGTGGTTGTGCTGGCGATCATGTTGGCTAAGGCGATATAATTTGCCATAGATACGCTAGTTCGGTTGAAAACTCGAGTATTGTGCTCCGTGCAAATCTTGCCTTTTACTTTTGTGCAGAAACCGCCGTGGTCCTTGCGATACACAATCACAAGATGATTACTGTCGCGGTGCCCATTCATCGGGGACGCGCGTCCCCCACCGCGGCCCGGCCCGTGGGCCCGGCTCCAGCCGCGGTCCAGCCCAGCCTCCTGCTCCATGATGCTGGGAGGAGGAGCAGCCCCCCCACTCCCAAAGCTTAACAGTGGCGCCCTGCGCACGGCGGCGCACAGCGGCGCACAGCGTAGCGGCCGGGGGCCCACGGAGCACGGCGGTGTGCCCCTCCTCTCTGGCCGCGCCGCCCCGCGCCTCGCCCCCCGCGCGCCGCGCCACGCCCCGCCCTGCCCCGCCCTGCCCCTTCCCCGCCCAGCGGCCTGCACGCAGCTCGTGAGCGCGCCAGCGCGCCCCGCCCGGCTGTCCTGTGCCTCTCCGGCCCCGCTGCCATCCGGCTGCTGCCCCGAGTGCTCCGGCAGCCTGCCTGCGCGCCCGCCCCGGGTCCCCGTCGCCGCGCCGAGCACCGCGACGCTGCACCGCAGCCGCCCCCCCGGGCCGTGGCGAGCCGCGCCCCTCCG